ACTAACTCGTGAGCAAGTTAATGGGCCATCTTTTGCACCACGGGTTTAGTCTAATCAGGAGAGATAAATCCTATATTTTTAATTTTTTTCAATTTTTTAATATTTTTTATCGAACTTATGGACTAGGCTAATAGACAAGCCGAAGGATTGTGTAGGCAAGTTCGGATAGCATATTGACAAACAAGCTTACAGAACGGGCTAGATTTCAAACTCCAAACCCAACCCAAGCCTCATTTAACCAATTGAGTTACCTTCAATTGATTGGGTGAGCTTGATTAAGATAAAGGCATTTGGAATTTGATAAAATAGAGGAAAATTCATTAACATGTAAAGTTAAATTTATGAAATTACATCCTCTGTTAATGTTATTAATTTGATAAACCAACTAGGATGTTCTTGAAATTGTCAAAAATCTCAATAAAAATCAATAAGATTTATACTTTTGGGCAAATTACAAACACCCCCTCGAGGTTTGGTGAAAACATAGATTCCTCCCTGAGGTTTGAGAAATTACAAATTACCTTTTGAGGGTCAAATTTTCATAATAAATTAGGAAAAATTAGGGGGAATCTGTATGAAAATAAAAACCTCAAGGGGCAATTTGTTATGGAAATATAAATCTCAGGGGGTGGGATGTAATTTTTCAAATCTCAAGAAGAAATCAGTATTTTCACCAAATCTCGAAGGGGGTGTTTGTAATTTACCCTATACTTTTTTATGAAATTTGCTTGAATACTGGAATCAACCACCAAATTTTTTTCCCACTCAAATTTGATAAGATCCATTTTATTTTATTTTTTACCCTTTTTTTTTTTTTTTTTTTTGGGTCTTCATATGATCCAACCTAGAATGCATGCACTTTGGAGTAAAAAAAGCTTACATATATCACTCTGGCTATGTTTAGCACGGTTATAATAAGATAAAATATTACATTCAAATTATAATTATTATTTTTTTTTTATAAAAATAAAAAAAAAACTCATCCTAAACAAGACATTTTAATTCTAAATTAAAATAATCAAAAAATTAAAAATGTAAAAAGTCAATTCACATTCCAACGAAGGATCTAGTTGGGATAGACTTACAATACATACCATGTATGTATGTATGCCTCTGTGTGCGGATGCATGTATGTGATTAACGTGCATCATCAGTTTGGTTAACCCAACCAACATACGGTGCACATACGGTATAGGAAGGCACGCGGAGAGTAGATAGTGGAGGGCAGAGGTGCGAAAAAAGAGAAGAAAAACTGTCCCAGTGGGCCGGACAGGGACAGGGGCGTGAGCCGACAAGGAGCTGTTGGGCCCATAAAAGCGGCTGAAAAATCGAACTGGGCCCCACTCTCGATTCACGGGCCCACCTGTGTTGGCTCCGATTAGGTGCCTGCGCATTCATGGTTACTTTTAATTTTAAAGGGTTGTTGGAGAAATGCCAATATAGCATTTTTATTTATTTATTTATTTTTAAAATCATATTAATTTTATATTTTTTATACATATTTTTATAAAAATTTAAAAAATATAATTATTTTACATTTCCCAACAAACACTAAAGAAATGTTTGGAAAGAGATTTTTTAAGTTTTATTGGGCTAAAATAATATTAAAATATAAAATATTATATTAAATTCATAATCATATCTTTTTAAGATAAAATAGATTTTTTAACTTAATAAGATAAAATATCACATCTAAATTATAATTATTTTATTTTTTTCTTACAAAAATTAAAAAATCAAAAAACTTATTTCAAATGAAATCTTTTAATCAAAAATTAAAATAATTAAAATTTTAAAATGCTAACTCACATTTCATACTAATCTTACTAAAAATTAAAATGAAGTACGGTCTAAATGTCAAATGTGAAAAGCCCGAATATTCGGCGGCGCAACTTTTATCATCGGCATGTGTCTTATCAACCAAAAAGAATATTAACGATCGTGATCGTATGAGTGGGTCCCTTTTCTTTTCTGAACAATCAATTTTCTTACGCTTCCCCTCGGGAGCGTGTGTTCCACGCTGCAAAGTACTCAAATAAAATGTGCACTTTTACTTGCGCATGTTTAATTGCCCAATCATATGTCAGATATAAATTATTTTCATTTCTGATAATATTAAATGGTTAGGATTGATTATAAGAAAATTTATTATAAATTTTATTTTAAGTAATGGTAATCCGTTTAGTTTTAAAATTTTTTTAATAGATCAATTAGTTCTATTAATTTTGAAAAGGTAAATTAGTATATTATGTGAAAATTAGATTTACAATTATATCATTATTTCTATTATATTTCTTTTTTCTTTATTTTTTTTTTCTTTTTTTGTTTGTGCTAGAAAAAATAAGATACACAATCTATGATAAATCAAATTTAGGATGAATTTTTATATTAATTTTTTTTTATTTGGAAAATATTTCAAAAAGTGTACAAAAATGACTTGAAATATGAGATTTTTCAAATATTCCAAAAAGATATGAGATTCTTCAAACATTTCAAAAAGAGTACAAAAATTCTTTAGTAAGTTTTGGGCAAATGTTTAATTTCAAACTGTAACACTCCAATATAACAATCAAACGTAACATTCCAAAAAAACTTTTTCATATATTTTTTCCAAACGTAACATTCTCATTTAACACTCTAAAAAAACTCCTTAGTGTAATACTCTAATGTAACACTACAAAAAAAAGATGTAAGATTCCTCAAACCATTCCAAAACGAGTACAAAAGTTCCTTAGTAAACTTTGGACAAATATATAATTTCAAACTATGAGTACGTTTAGAAAAAGTATACTAAGGACTTTTTTAATGTTACATTTGAGATTATATTGATTGGAGTGTCACGTAAGAATGACAACAGGCCGGGGCGGGGCCGGGGATTACACTCCCTGTCCCTGATCCTCGAAAAAATCCCCATCCCTGACCCCGACTCCAATCCCCAACGGGGAACCCATCACTCCCCTTCCGCACCCCTAACGGGGATCGGGTTTCCCCAGCCCCGAAATATCCCTAATCCTTTTTCTTTTTTTTTTTTGAATTTTAAATTTTGAATTTTGTTCAACGCAAGAAAAAAATAAAATAAAATAAAATTTGTTTTAGCATGTTTCATCATCATCAACAAAAAACAAGTCTAAAAGCTTTGATCTGTCAAATTTCAACAAAATCCCCAAAATCAACTTGAAATTGCACAAAAAACAAACAATTTTGCAATGTGTCATTACTTCCCGAACCTTAAAAATCAAAATTATCTAAAAAAAGAGGTAGATTTACGATTTTTTACTTAATTGCGATGAAAATCAAGGTGCTCTTGATGAGATGGGCTTGGATTCGCCGCCGTCAACGTTGTCTTCTCGAACTCAAACAGAGAAGTGAATGTGAGTTGTGAGAGACGAAGGTGGTGAGGACGAAACGATGACGTCCTTGATCCCCGACCGCCGCAACCAGATCTTCCAAATCTGAACTCGACTCTCATTGTCGAATGGCGAAGGCAGTAGTGGAGTAACTGTGAGAGAAAGAGGGGAGATGAGCTGCGATTGACTCTCATCGTCGAATGGCGGAGGTGGTAGTGGGGCAGTGGATGAAAGAGGGAAGGGAAAGGATCTACGAAGAGAGAGAGAGAGAGAGAAAGAGAGAGAGATATGAGAGGCGGTGTGAGGTTATGTATGTGTTTTAAGGTTTGATTTATATATATATATATATATATATGTGGGTATAATAGTAATTTCACATCAGGAAAAACAGGGACGGACCTGGGGCTGGGAATATATCATTGTCCTCGACCCCAGCACGTCAGGGGTATTTTTGAGAAAAAACCATTCTAATCGGGGTCGGGGGGCCGGGTCCCCGTCGAGCCGGGTTCAAATTGCCATATCTAGTATCACGTTTGGAAAAAGTACATTAAGATTTTTTTTTTTTTTTTGTGTTACATTGGAGTGTTACATTTGAAAAAATACACTAAAGATTTTTTTTAGAATGTTACGTTATTACATTTGAAAAAAATATACTAAAGAGTTTTTTAGTATGTTATAATAGAGTGTTACATTTTTGTTCGTAATGTGAAATTTGTTCCAGAATGAGAAAAAGTCCAAAACTTCTATTATACGGATTGCCCAAATATGTAATTTCACATTTGGAGAAACTCGCTTTAATTTTTTTTAAATTAAATCCAAATATGTAAGTAACTATCATTTTATATAATTTTCACTTAAACAAGACCCTTTGAGTTCATAAGAAAAAAAAAATGACAAACGTGACGTTGATTTTGTTAATTGAGAAATAAAATAATTTATTTATTTTTAATCTCTAATCTCTTATGATTAGATTAGCAATCCCACTTGGCTCATAAAAATATTAACCGAATTCTTTGAAGGAGAAATAACACTTCACTGCAACTTTTTTAAAAAAAAATTACAAATAAATGAAAAAAATTGTCAACTTTAATAATTAAAGTTATAATTTTTTTATGAATTTACAAATATTTTGTAAAAATACCACTTATTTGTAATTTTCCCGTCTTTGAAAAGTATTCTTAATTTCATTCATTTGTAAATCAATATGAAAAATATGAGTTTGATTAGTATCAATGGGGATTTTTGTGTAGGGATTTGAAATAAATAATGAATATTTTAATTAAAATTGTTAAAAACATATAGATCATATGTTGACTAATGTTCTTCCTCATTCTATATTTTTAGTCCGCTCAACCCATTGGTTTAAAACTGCTAAATATCTTGCTCTCAAAAAAAATAAATAAATAAAATTTGCTAATATCCAATCAGATAGCCAGTTTTGAGGATGAGCAAGATGTTGAGTCAAAAAAATTCTCAATCCGTCAAGGGTGACACCAAAACCACCCTGCACACTGCACAATGACTAGGTTTCTATTCAATTGGGCTCCCTCCAAAACAGGAAAGACCATGATCTAGCCAACCTTCCACCTAACATTCTAATGTTTGTCAATAATCAATTAAATGAAAATAAATAAACAAACAAACAAGAGATTGTAGAGTTTTGCAGCAAATTCAAGTCAGATGCCACATCACTTTGTAAACAATGTTTGTAGAGATTTTTTTTCCCAGTCAACAATCGTAAGCATTTCAAACTAAGAATCTAAAGAAATATTGCAAGATCTATTGGTAATTTTCCCAGGACTCGAGACCAAACGCCAGCAACATTTCTAGCAATCAAGCATTCAAATTTATATTATACGTGACTCTACACCTCAAAACAAAATTGTAAAATAATACAAATAGAAAGAAATGAAGCGAGAAAACTCAATTGCAGAACACGTCGTCTGAATCATTCACCTATTTAGCATTTATGTAGTCAATGAGGCATCGATCAAGCTCAAAATGCCGGCAAAGAAGTTTCTGCAAGACATAATCCAGGGATTCACTATTAAAATATCACTACTTCATTGGAAGAACAGTTTTCCCAACTCCTTTAAAAACTTGAATGAGGCCTTCTTCAAAAAATTATTTGGGAAGATATTTTTCTTTTTATGTTAAAATGCAAAATTACTAATTACATTCAAGTTTACAACATTCAATTCCCAAGACAAATTTAAACCAGCAATATAATCTTTTACAAAACATTCAAGATAAAGACAGCTCTCCCTACTTCATCAAGTGTTGGTGTGATTGCAAACTTGCAGTAACAAAGAATTATATTAGGGCATAACAGATTTCTTCTCTTCCATCAATTAAACATTACTTGTGTATGTGCTATATGAAACATGGCAGACAGAACTTACTACAAATACAGTAAGCTGTGTGCACCTCTAAGCATGCACTCATTAAGAGATAGCAGGATGCAAACCAACATGAATAAGAACAGTTGCTTCAAGATCATAATTCAATTAACAAAAAAGTATTAAACCCAAGCAACATGGAACATACTGAGCTTTATGATTTTTTTTGAGGATACCTTTGTTATAGGAGGATTAGAAGCTAAATCCACCTCAGGAAAGCGTGTAACCTCCACTGCATTCTCGAACAATATATATGTTGGAAGTTTTTCGTTGCTCCCTACAAGTACCACTCCCCAAATTTATCATTCAATCAACAAAACATATCAAAAGGAAAAAATGACATTCATAGAACAATTTTTCAATGTAAGAAATTGAGACATCATATGATAGTTAGAAAGTGAAACTACCTAGAGAGATTCCATACTTCTCTGCAGCATTGGGAAAGAGGCCAAGATCAACTATCCCAAAAGATAAATTTTTGTTTGAGTATCTGTTAAAAGAAACCATAAGCACAAAAAAAAAAAAAAAAAAAAAAAAAAAAAAAAAACTCCTAGTGACAGCTATATTAGGCTGTGTTTGGCTCATGGATTTGGATAGGAATTTGGAAAGGGAAAGGGGGAGAAGGTGTGTTAAATGTAGTTATATTTCATTTACGTTTCACCTACATTTTCACTTTTCTTTTCCAAATCCCTATCCAAATCCATGAATCAAACAGTGAGTCTAAGAAGCACGGACATGGACACGTGACACGACACGAATACGACACGGACACGCCGACACGTTAATTTTAAAAAAATGCAGGACACGGCACGTGGAGGACACGCATGAAATATATAATTTTATATATTTATTATATATTATATATATGAATATATCATTCAAAGATAATAAAAAATGCAATATAGCACTATTTCCTATAAATTTATATGGTTTTTGTTTTATTATTGTATCTTAAGTTGTTTTGTTCAAACTTATAATTAGTTTTACATATCTATAATCAATAGACACGTGTTTAAACAATTGACACGTGTGTCTTCCAAGTGTCCAAAGAGTGTCCGGGTCTTTAAAAATATTTAAAAAATAGGACACGTTTTGAAGAGTATCGGACACGTGTCCTAAGAGTGTCCAAAGAGTGTCGGTGTCCGACACGGATACGTCACCTTTTTAGAAGTGTCCGTGCTTCTTAGGTTAGAGTAACAATAATACTAATTAGAAATCTTTGGTGCCTCGAATTGAGTTGCCTCGAATGGCTCTAATTTGTGTTCACTGATCGAGTGACTAAACGACCGGCCGGACGACCAGGTGAAACACTTGTCTACCATGGTTGTCACCTTGTCGACCGCGGCTGTTAGCCTTTTTGCCGGACGACCGACAAAATGAAATTCGAGCCATTTGAGGCAAACTCAAATTCGAGGTACGTAGCATTGCTCACTAAGGCAAACGAACAAGGACCAAAAGAATATTTTCAAGAAAATGCAAATGTGATCCTTTTTGCTTTCAAAACTTGCACAAGCTACGGAAAAAGTTTCCCCATTTTCGCTCTTGTGCATACTAAGGCAAAACACTTACGTAATTGACAATTCAGGAAAGAACCGACTGGTGTGAACGCAAGTGGACGAAGACAATGCACGAAATTCTACCTGTTAATAATCGAACGTGTCAGTAACTTGAAAAGGAAAATAGAAAAAACAAGACTGTCATGTGTGATACAATAATATGGCAACATTCTGAATGTCATGCTACAAAGGTCAGACAGTTATGCATATTATTACCACTAATGTCCTGTGACAATCTCCCAGATCTTTCTGTTAGCTAAATCATAGACTATGGAGAAAGAAAAATGGCAAAACATCTAGGTGAACCCGCTTAACAAACTGGGCCAGCGGGAAGGCAATTGGGTAAAGAACCAATAGAAACCATTGGCCATCTGAGGCATCATTTATTTTAGATTATACTGAAAACTTGATACATGCACATCGACTTCTACAAGTGTGACCCTATTACCTACATATGTTTACAGAATAACAATCTAATTATGCAATGACACGGACCCAAACAACTGGATATTGCAGTTCAAGCAACAAACACAAAAAAACCATATTTCCCATCAAATCTTTTTGACAACTTCTTTTATACAATGATTATTAACAATTGTCAACATTAGTGAAAGCTAGTGACACTCCATTAAGATTATTTTCAAAGAAGAAAGAGAAAAACAGCCATCGTCTTAAGATTGGTAAGCATAAAAGTATGCAATTAAGTGTCCATAGGCTGAAGTATGATGACATGACGGCTGCCTAAATGGTCAGGCCAGGTAAGCACCTATTAGTTTTTACACAACCACCAAATAACTTACACAACCAAAGAGCCCCATTAAGAGAATGTGAGAACAATTAGCCAATAACTGGATAGTGATTACTAGAATCAAAAGTAGAAACATGGAAAACTGAAGCTCAAAGCCTGATCTAACAAGTGTAAGTAAAACACCAAATGGGAATAGAAATTTATTGAGCAACTTCCATTAAGAAAAAATAAAACACTAGTTTAGGAAGCGAAGGGATGGGCAAGTTAGCAAAAAAATATCAAGCACTATAAGAGTTAACCTCTGCAAAATAATCAAAGAACATGTTCCCCCTCTCAGTGTTAAATTTTCATAATGTTTCATGGTGTTCCTAAAAAGGAGTTCCCTACAATATTTAGTTATTTTATCCCAGCTATATGCACCCAAGACTAACTTTCCATCAAAGAATGAACCAGAGTCATGCAAAAGGCTTGCTGGCAGCTCATAGAAGATGTCAATATTGGCCTGGCTAATGAAATTAAGCTTCAGTAGACAGAAGCATACAAAGGAAAAAAAATTCTCCCCACGTGAAACACTTGGGATGATGCTGGTGCATAACTTATCTTTCAAAGTCCTCTCTCTCTCTCTCTCTCTCTCTCTCTCTCTCTCTCTCACACACACACACACACACACACACACACACACACACACAATGATAAGAGATTTCCTCAACTATTTCATGCCATTATCTTCCCCAAGGTTACAATCTCATTCTCCAAAGGTTTAGTATTTTTGTCCGAGGCATAGGTGTCAGACAGAAGGATAGAACTGAGGAAAACCTTAAGAGCTATAGATTGGCTAATAAGGAGGTCAAGAAAGTAGTGAGAGAGACCAAGTTGAAAGTATATGATGACCTATACACTAGACTAGATAGTAAGGAGGGAGAGAAGAGGGTATACAAACTTGCTAAGATACGAGAGAGGAAAACAAGAGATTTTAATCAAGTAACGTGCGTCAAGAGTGAGGATTCTAAGGTATTGGTGAAGGGTGATGAGATTAAGGAAAGATGGAAGAATTATTTTAGAAACTATTAAATGAGGAACATGGAGGTACGACAATAAGGGAAGAAATAGCCAGTAATACGATAAACCAAGACTATAGGTTCTATCGCAGGATTATGAACTTTGAAGTGGAAATTGCACTTAAGAAGATGAAATCAAATAAGGCTTTAGGACCCAATGATATCCCTATTGAAGCTTGGAAGTGTTTGGGTAAAAAGGGAGTTGGTTGGTTGACTAGGTTGTTTAGCAAAATTTTGTTGATTAGGAACATGCCAGATGAGTGGAGGAAGAGTATTTTAGTGCCAATCTATAAGAATAAAGGTGATGTCCAGAATTGTAACAACTATAGAGGAATCAAGCTAATGTATCATATAATGAAAGTGTGGGAGAGGGTGATGGAACGCCGATTGCGAGATATAGCAGAGATGTCAGAGAATCAATTTGGGTTTATGCCTGGTAGGTCAACAATGGAAGCGATCTATCTTTTGAGGAGAGTAATACAAAAGTATAAAGAAAAGCAAAGAGACATTCATATGGTGTTTATCGACCTTGAGAAAGCATATGACAGAGTGCCCCGGGATATAATATGGTGGGTGTTAGAGAAAAAAGGAGTGACAAAAGGTTACATTGACGTAATTAGGGACATGTATGAAGGGGTGGTGACCACTATTAGATCGCCAGCTGGAGAGACAAATGAATTTCCTATCACTGTAGGGTTACACCAAGGATTTACCTTAAGTCTTTATCTTTTTGCTTTAGTTATGGACGAGTTAACGATAAATATTCAGGATGACGTCCCATGGTGCATGCTTTTTGCAGACGATATTGTGCTAGTGGATGAGACTAGAGAAGGAGTTAACACAAAGTTAGAGATTTGGAGAAAAGCTTTTGAATCTAAAGGATTCCGGAGAAGCAGAACTAAGACAGAATACATGGAGTGTAAATTTAGTAACAGTAACAATGAAAGCAGAGGAGAAGTGAAGATTGAGAACCAAAAATTGCCTAAGAGTGAACATTTTCGTTATTTAAGGTCGATTATCACAACAGCGGGAGAGATTGATGCAGATGTGGCCCATAGGATTAAGGCGTGATGGTGTAAGTGAAGAAGTGCGTTTGGGGTATTGTGCGATAAACGAATACCTACTAGACTAAAATGTAAGTTTTATAGAACGGCTATTAGACCAGCTATGTTGTATGGGACGGAGTGTTGGGCAACCAAGAAACAACATATAGATAAGATGAGTGTAGCAGAGATGAGGATGCTAAGGTGGATGTGTGGTAAGACTAGACAAGACAGAATTAGAAATGAGTGTATTCGGGAATGGGTAGGAGTAGCACCGATAGAAGATAAGTTGAGAGAGAATCGTTTGAGATGGTTTGGTCATATTCAACGGAGACCAACAGAGGCAGTAGTGAAGAGATGCGATTCTGTAACGATAGATGGAAGTGTTAGGGGACGGGGTAGGCTTAGATTAACGTTGACTAGCGTTTAAATAGAGATATGAATCTACTTAATTTGACTAATGAAATGGCCTTTGATAGGGACGCGTGGAGAAGAAGGATTCAATTAGCCGACCCCATTTGATGGAACTTAAGGCTTGGTTTGGTTTGGTTTGGTTTTGCATAGGTGTCAGACAGTTATCATGCCGCATTAATTGGATCAAAATGGTTGAAATGGAATACTCAAGTTATTTCACTTACTAATGTATATGGAAGTAGCATACTAACTAATTTAAGTCAAATAGATTCTTCTGACAATGTGCATCTGTCTGTGTGAAACTATTAACATTTAACAGCATGCGCTTGTTTTAGGGACCTCTACAATTGGAAGTAACTAAAAAACAAACACATTTATACTGTAAATCATGATAATTAGAATTCCAATAACAAGTCAACAGAACCAAACTAGCCAGAATCTTGATGTGTTCCCCTCAGTCAGCAAAGCTTCCAACTGCAATGGAGTTAATTGATTTGAAGTACCTATAAAAACCCAGAAGAAAAAAAATAAAAACATTTACAGTCATCATATCGAATATAGTCATTGCTTTGTCTCATAAAATGCACTTGATTTCAGAGAAACTTTTAGAGATCTTTGAATAAGTTTTTGGTGTATAGTTTCCCTTATACTTTTTGTACATGGTTTGCACCCTGTTGGTGCCTCTTCTTAATAAAATCTTAATATTTATATTAAAATTAGAAAATGAGAGAAAGCCAAAACATAATTCATTTCATACCTAGTCCTTGGTAGGCAGGTTGTTGAGTCAAGATATATATAACTGCCAGAAGAAAAAAAAAAATGCAATGGGCTCAAAATCATCATACCAAATACTATCATCTGACTCACATTTACTAACCAAAAATTCGTCATAAGTTTAGCATTACTTTTCAATTAAAATTGAACACAAGCTATTTACATCATGTAGTAAAATAAGAGATGATTTAAAATGTATTGATGTAAGAAACATGGAAAGAGCCATGTGAATACAAGATTCCATACAATTTTACCTCGTACCACTAGAGGGCGTACAAGTATTTGGTCTTTAAGAAACTTTACTATCAAGAAGATATAATAAAAGATACATGTGAAACCTTCTTGCGTGAGTCTTAACAACAAAAAACAGCACAATAGATTAAATGCTCTGTACTTTAAATGAATTTTTTTTTAAAAAAACAAGGAAGGTGTCCACATTACTCACAAAGTGTAGAAGTTCTCCTCATCAAAAGATTTGAACAACACACTAGTCAGTAGGGCCTACCTAGAAATACCAACGTGTACCAGAGAGCCAAGTGATAATCCATGACTAAAGCAATGCCAACAAGAAAAATCTGAAATATAGACCTCCAATTAGAATATAGATAAAGAAGCATCACAATTAAGGGATAACTACAAGAAAAGTGGGCGTCACATGATCTTCAAAGCATAATTACAATATTACATAAAAACTTAGAAAGGCTTTCAAACTCAACTCAACAAAAATTCCTCCTGATAGTATCAAGAGAACCACTAACACTCAATGCATGAGGTTCCTGCTAAAGCGGTGTTTGAATAAGGTTAAACATGTAAATGTAGTACAAAAAAACTTAAAACTATGGTACATCACAAATAACTAAACATGTATTTTACTAAATAGCAATCAAACACATAATATGCTGCACATATCTGTGTGTTATCACTAAGAAACTGTGCAGAAGTAAGAATTAAGCTGTTAAAAAAAGGGCCACCTTAGCGAAAAAGAGAGTATCTGCAATGAAGGCCTCCCATGCCTCCACTTTCACCATCTGCCACAGATAAACAAATTGAAAACAAAAAATTAGAGCCACTTCTTACCAACTGTGTTTGAACTATATGTAAACCAAAATATACAAAAAATTTGAAATATCAGTGTTGTCCTACAAAGATATTAGGTTCATTCATCCATGACAGAATATGGCAGTTTCAAAACAGGTTAATAGACCAATCATCTCTTATTGCCATTCTATTGAGCTCCGCCATGATGTGACATAAGCAAATATAGCATAAGTTCAACTTCAGTGAAATTTCTCTTTCTCAAAATACAAAAAAAAAAAAAAAAGTGCTTAAAGTAAGCAAAATCATTGATGAGATTAATAATTTGTTGATTGGAATGTTCCCACATATATTTATGAGTTCTGAAAAATTATGAACTAATCAGTCGATACAGGCTACAGCCCCATGAACACAAGAAGAAATTCTCTATAGCCAAATGTTACCATTAATCACTTCAGAGCAAATTGCCCATTCAAACTTAAAGGTAGCAGCATAATTGACATTCAACAAAAAGGTAGTACTGTAAGAACCAACCTACGTATCCAAATGATATGCACAATCATCATATAAAGATTTATAAGAGCATCTCCGATTCTTACTCTCTTTTTTCATCAAATTCGAGTGAAAATTGGCCAAAAGCTTGATTTGATATGGAACACTCCAATCCTACTCCCTTTTTCCATCAATCGTTTTTTTTTTTTGGTTGAAAAATTCCGAACTTATCCTAAAAAGCCTGTTTTTAACCATTTTCAATGAAAGAAAACCAACTCCAATCCTTACTGTTTCTAAAATTTCATCAAATTTCAGTAAAAATATAAATGTTGGTAGTTTGGTGAAGCACTTAGTCATTTTTTTTTATATATCAAATATGAATGAATTGATGAAGGTAAAGGGGAAATTGAAAAAAATACACCTTGACAACAGTCAATACAGAAAATGCAAGAGCTGCTTGAATTTCCTGAAAAACAAACATCAATAGATGAAATTTTAGGAACATTTAGGTTAATAGAACACACAAATCGAAAGAAAGCATGAACTTATTGAAGAGGTGTGTATATACCCGATGAAGAAGATGAGAGGAAAAGTGAGGGGAGATGATTTGGGAGGCGGAGCAGCGAACGGGGATGTAAGAGAAGAAAGCGAGGAAGTGGAAGAGGTAGTACGGCTCTGACACCATTTGGTTCAACATTGTGATCGGATCGTACTGATTATTCTCCATTTTCTCTCTGTATGCTGTGCTTCCAGCTGGTACGATTTCTAGGGTTTCATAGATCGAATTCCAAGCTTTTCCTCAATTTCTTGGCGATTCCGGAAAATCATAGATCGAATTCCAAGCTTTTCCTCAATTTCTTGGCGATTCCGGAAAATAATTTCTGTGCAGCTCTCAGATATGATGCCCGTGCTTTCCCTGCCATTTTCGGAACCCGAACCCGAAGGTTGATGGGCCGTTCGGTCCTTTTTTTATTTTTTATTTTTTTGTACTCCAAGGGTTTCCATTTGCACACCACATTTCATACACCCAATTTTGATTTTTTATTTTTCGCTCAATACACATTATCAATTTTTAAATATTCAAAAAATATCCTCATCTTCTCTAATCATAACCATAACCCTAACCCTAACTCTACCCCGCAACCGCACCGCCATCAACCATTGCCGTCAGCCATCCTACCTCTTCCTGCCGCTGTTACTCTCCGACTGACACAATTCCCTTTTTTGTTTCCATCCCCAATCCATTTGCGTTCTTGCCATGGCAGCAACTCGGGTTGTTCTTTCCTTCATTGCTGACATTGCAACTCATAATAAAATTTGTGTTGTATGGATTGAGAAATTTGTATGAATGTTAAAAATGTAATTGACTAGAAAGATAAAGATGTAATAAATTTTTTTCAGGAAATGGAAGATTGAAGATCGTAGGTGTAGTCTGTGAGTGAGTAAGGGTAAAGATGTAAGATTGTGGGTGGGGTGTGTGAGTAAGGGTAAAGATGAAAGATTGTGGTGTGTATTGAGAAAATTTCTTATTTATCAAATTACTAAAGGTGTGCCTTAAGTAGTAGTGTGCTTTGAGATGAAATGTGGTGTGTAAATAGAGGCACCCCCAACCATAACATTAAATTAGGGGTGGGTACGGGTTGGTTATGGTCACGGAATCTCTAATTCGTCATTCGTTTGCCAGATTGGTAGATTTGAGAAAATCAATCCGCATCCGTCCACCAATCCAACAGATGTGGATTGAGCGGATTAGCGAATGAATGCGAATCCGTTTAGCGATTTAAAATTTTATAAATTTTCAATATAAGTCAACTTGTGCACTTCCTCAAAAAAATAAAAGTATTACAGTCAATGACTTAAAAAAATATTACAATCACTGCATAAATCAGCCAAAGAAATAAAGTTTGAAACTTTAGAATATTACAATCGCTGTATGTCTCATCCATATAAAATATTACAATCTGTGATTTTTAAAATATAAAAACAATTCAAACCATCAAAACCATGAACAGAGCAGTAGTAGCGATTGCATGCCTCTATATTGTTACATTTATATCTGTTTTTGAAAACAAAAACTAACCAGCATGTGTCATCTCTTTTATTTATTATTTTTAGAGTTAGATTTAAAAACCAAAAAATATAGATAAATAATATATTTATTTTTTTCAATTCAAAAAATATATTCAAGTTGAAAACTATTTTTCAACAGAATTTAAATTCTTTTTCAATTGAAAACACAAACAGAATATCTAAACAAATTAAAAACACAAGTCTTACAAATTACTAGGGGTGCTTTTGGTTTGGCGATTCAGTTACGGTCAAAGGAACCTCAAATCCATCATCCGTCCAAAACTAGGCGAATTGAAAAAAATCAATCAGTAACTGTCCGCTCGTGTCACGACCCAAACCCGCCCCTAAGAGCTTACCGTTGCAACCGGCCAGTAATCCTTGGATTACCAAAGGCCTCTGAACAAAATTACAAAATATAAGGGGTCGCATAAGCAAATATATAAAACTTACATAGTCCATTGAACTGTGCAGACATACATGGGACAGATAATTTTAAACTTTATAAACACACTTGCGACATCATAGAAAGACATTAGTCATACATCATTCCAATAGACAGATGAAACAAAAGTGGGACTTAGCCCAACGTATTATACCAAGAAGAAAATAGGTCTTAAAAGCTTGAACCACAAAAACTTGACTTCTCAAAGGGAACCTCCCCGGGAGACATAGTGACTGGCTGACCCAACTCTTCCAGGTAACAACTTAGGCTTGGTTACGTGCCTGCTCATCTACATACATAACATAAACAGTAAGCGAAAGCCTAGTGAATAATAACTAAGTAAAGGGTTAAATCAATTGTCCCATAACTAATTCAGTAAACAAAGACAGATATATATGCACGTTCTTATTTGAAACATAAACAGAAATCAGAGTTCATACTTAATCTTACATAGTACATCCGTTTGCGCTAACAAATCACACACAGAGTATCAATGGTCATACTTGCCAGTTCCATATAGGAACCTCTAGTCGGGTACGGATAACTTGTCAATTTCATAAAGGAACCTCCGGACCGGGAACAGATAACTTGTCAATTCCATAAAGGAACCTCCAGCCGGGTACAGATAACTTGTCAGTTCCATACAGGAACCTTCGGATCGGGAACAGATAACTTACTTGTCAGAAATTGGGCAATCATTCATTGTACATAATATATAACATGTTACAAAACAGATCTTATTCCATATATAGAAAATAAATAAAGTTGAACATAGTTTTACTAAGTTATTACTTACAGATGGCTCCGAAAACAAACAGACAGACAAAGTAGGCAAATCAAATATCTTGTGGCGTGTGACCTACACAGTTATAGAAAGAATACGTACTGAAATACACATCCCGAATCATTAACTTAGTTTGTTTTTATCTTGGTATGTTTCTACTTCTTATCCTCATTATTATGTCTTAGTCTTGGCCTAGGAGTGCTTAGGATGTAATGAGGATGCCAAAATGCTTTTGAAAACACCTAACAAAACTTGCTGAAAACAGGGGTCTTGCTCAAGTGCAACTTCTTTTGCTTTAGCGGACATGCAAAAATGTGAGAGGTCGCTCGAGTATAACTTCGGTCGCTTGAGCGGTTTGTAAACTCTGCAAAAGTACTGGTTGTTGGGTTTTTCTGCTTGACGCTCGCTCGAGCGTGAGACTCAGGTCCTCACTCGAGCTCAACTCTTGTCGCTCGAGCAGTCTGCAAAAATAAGAAACTTCTGGGAGCATGAATTTTATGCTCGAGCCAACTATTTGTCGCGCGAGTAGGAGTGCAAAACACAAAGTGGTCGTTCGAGAGCAGGATCTGTCGTTCGAGCGGAGAATAGAATTCTGGGATTTCCAAATTGCTCTTCCCAGCTCAAAACTTAAATTCAAACCAACAAAACACATTCTCTTGGGCCCCAAACTTGAGGAAACACATGCAAACTTGTAAAATACAATGAATCAAGGATCATTTCATGAAATTATGGCCCAAAAGCTTGCCAATTGCCCAAAATTCAACTTGAAGCTTATGAGTATGATATGGACATGGCATGTATGAATTGTTATGAACTTAAACTTTCCAAAACATGATCAATTAAGATCAAATGGTAAGAAATGTGGTGAAAACTCAAAACAAAATCAAGATAGACACATGCATGTGAGATTTGTTTGAAATTCAAACTCCAAATGTGATGAAAATGCATGCATGCAAGGAATTCATCTTCTTAAGCTCAATTCTCATGTTAATTCACCCATCACACTTGATTTCATGTAATAACTAACTAAATTACAAACTAGGAGGTAGAAATTCTTACCTTAGAAGCTTAATTGTGTCCTAGATGCCCAAATGGTCGAGTCAATTAGTTCAACACCTTGAATTTCTAGTAATTCTCATTTTTTCTTGCTCTCTCTCTCTCTCTCTCTCTCTCTTTCACTCTCTCTCACCACGTTTGAGTCCAAAAGATGAGAAATGAAAGTGTAACTAATAGCCTTAAGTCATCAAATTGCCTTATATAGGCTTAGTTTAAGAAGTTTAATTAACAACTAATTAATTGACATTATTATATTCTAATAATTTGGTTCCGAATCAAATTTCAATTAAACCTACCATAATGTTCTAAAAATCTCAACTAACACATAATTTAAGTCAATTTCGTGATCAGATGCCGATAAGGCCTTCAATTCACAAATCGAAACAGAAACACAAACAAATATTTCTATGAGAGACAAATAGAAACACAAATAATGAAATGCACATGTAATTAACTCAGGATTTCATCTTAATTACTTATTAGGCATACTTAATCATGGCTTAATAGTTAATCATGGGTCGGGGTTGTTACAGTCTTCCCCCCTTAGAGAGTTTGGTCCTTCAAATTCAAATTACCTTCGTTTTGGAAGAACATTGGGTCCAATGGAAATAAATCCGAATATCTCTTCATCATATCTTCTTCCGTCTTCCATGTTGTATATGTCCCTCTGTGGTTTTGCCTATCCACTTTTACCAATGGAATTTCTTTGTTCCTTAATCTTTTGATTTGGCGGTTCACAATCTGAATTAGCCTCTCTTCGTACGTATAGTCATCATTCAATAGTACATGTGTTGGTTCGATAACATGTAATGGATCTCTCAAATAATCCCGTAACATTGAGACGTGAAAAGACATTATGCATATGTTCCATGACCGGTGGTAAGGCTACCCGATACGTCACTGGGTTAATCTTCTTAAGAATCTCATTTGGCCTCACATATCTCGGTGCTAGCTTGCCCTTTACACCAAACCGCATTTGTCCTTTCATAGGAGTTACTTTGATAAATACATGATCCCTTACTTCATATTCCTGGTTTCTTCTTCGGACGTCTGCATAACTCTTTTGGCGGCTTTATGCAGTTTTCAATCGCTGCTAAATCAATTTCACATTTTCAGTTGTCTCTTGCACTAGTTCTGGTCCCAACAATGGTCTGTCACCTACCTCGGCCCAACAGATCGGGGAATAGTATTTCCTCCCATACAAAGCTTCATAGAGAGCCATATCGATACTCGAATGGTAGCTGTTGTTGTACACAAACTTAGCTAATGGTAAGTAGGTTTTCCAATTGCCTTGGAAATCTAGGGCACACATTCGAAGCATATCTTCTAAAGTTTGATTGGTTCGTTTAGTTTGGCCGTTTGTCTATGGGTGGTAGGCATTATCCATCCGCAGTTCAGTTTCTAAAGCCTGTTGCAAACTCTGCTAAAACCTTGACGTGAACTTCGAATCTCTATGTAGACACCCCATTTTGACCGGCTCTAAGACTGGGGCATTTTCTTTTGAACACCTGATGATGAAAATTAGAATATGTTAGTTTATGAATTTCTCAGCAGAAAAATCAAATTGAAACTTTAATCCCAAACCTCACCCATTTTGGCCAAATTATCAATTTGTAGTATT